GTCAAAGACTTCTATACACCTATAAATGAAAGTTATGCTTCAGTGCAAATTGAACTGGGAGTACTACCTAGTGAGAGGTACAGGAGGAACGTTGTACGTGGAGTTCTTGATCTTGTAGGTAAGATGTTTAATTTTTAAAAATGCATTAATATATTCTGGTAATTAGGACCTGAACGACCTTACCGGTCGTTACTGTATTTGTACGGTCGGATCGCGACCAGTTCGACTAAAACTGTTACCACGGAGAAAGTTCTTTACTTATATCAGAATAAAAATCACCCACAGAAAGCTAATGAAATGCACAATTTAATTATGCTAATAATAATTTACTCAATTGACGTACAACAGGTAAAAAAATGGATGAATTATAGAAATCTAGATGAAAAACTCTAACTTTTTTTTATTTTCTTTGTTAATATCTCAGTATCATTTTATTTATATATACTTATTGTACAATTATTAAAATACATGATCTGCCCTATCCAATAAAACCAATAACGTTATTATTAATGTTTAGTATTTCTAGGCAAGAATACCTAAAATATTGACATACTCCGTTCTAGAGTGTGATCTCCCGGGCGGCTATAAAATGTGGCAACATGGCCGCCCGCTTTAAGGCCCGTTAACACGATTATTTGAGCATGGGTATATATAAAATATAATTAAAAAAATATGTTTACAAAAAACTTTATTTTTCTTAAATATAAATAAAAAATATGTAAATAAAAAAGTTAAGTGTTTACTTAACTTTTTATCTTTCTTAATTTTAAAAATTTTGTTTAAAATTATATATAAATACATGCCTACAATTATATTTAATTAGCGAAACTCCTGGGGAAGAATCAGTATAAGACATATATTCAAAAAAGTTATTTTTTGGATCCGAGACAAAAACTGCATCTCTTTTCATTTTCTTATTGTCATTACCACAGGGACGCTCCGACGAATGGAAACCGACGATGGAAATAATCCGAACAGGATTATTTCCATCTGTCAAATGTCAATATTATAAATTATAATATGCGTAACTGGAAACCCCGTTCACATCATCATCTTCACTTGATGAGTGGCAAGCTAGCAGTTTTTTTTTGGAATTTCCTGCCACGTTTGACCACATTGTGGAATTAAATATAGCCAGCGGTTTTTCTGGACTAATACGTCTTAGGCACGTTCAAGGAAAGGAGTAAGTAGTTTCTACTCCTTTTTAAAAAGCCGAAAACGCATCAATAATTCCTCTTTAGTGTTACGAATATTCAGGGGTGTTATTTCGCCTGGGATTTGAAACTTGAACTAATGACAGTTCAATTTAATACCACCCCCCTCCCCCAGCCACTGGGCTTGGCGAGCCCACTTCGGATGTGTATCGGTGGGCTGCGGCGAGAGGGGTGTCCTCTCCCACTACCGCTAAAGCCGAAGTGAAGTCGCGGAGGAAGAGGAGTGTTAGTATGGCGATGCGCCACTCGCCCTATCCTCCTCGACTCTGACGAGGCTGGACCGTTGATGCGGTGGTGGTAGGGCCGCGGGGTGAGAGGAGTGTCAGTATTGCGAGGGCCGCTCTCCCTAATCTCCGCGGCCGAAGCTTGGCTGGCGGCGGAGCCAGAGACCAAATCCACCGCAGGGGTCGAGAAAGCGGATGTTACTGAGCGCTCGAATTTCCTGGCCCCATGGCCTCTGCGTATCGGTCTCGGGGAGGGGGTGGGGAGTTACACAGGTGGAATTGGAGGCCGTGGAGAGGTGCGTGCCTTGTGTTTCTGGTGCACCTTACCTGAGAAGGAGAATGAGGAGGAGAGGTTCTCCCCCAAGGAGGGGCTGCCCTGGGGCGCCTGGCGCTGGTGGGGCCGCGGATGTGTGCCAAAGCGTTCCCGTGGCCCTGCTAATATGCGGCGAAGGTGGAACACCATGGCGTTTTAGTCGGTGCAAGTCCGACATAACCCGTCCTTGCCCCCGCGAAGCGGGTATGCGTGGGCATTTCCCCATGTAAAAAAAGTGCCTACTCTGATCAGTTCTAAGGCAGTTCAAGGCAGTTGTAGTTCTAAGGTAATTTCATGTTTGCACAGATAATAGTTAATTAAATTATTTACTAATTATTATTTCTGGGAAGGATTTTAGAATAAGAAAGAGTCCGCGGTCCTGCCCGGGTGCATGTTGGCATATTTTTAATAATTTTATTGTTATATATTCTTAGCCTAGTTTTCTTATATTGTTTTCCTTCACTGTTGAGTAAGTCGTAAATCAGAATTGAAATTAAAAATTTAATTATTGCTGGCTGACACCTAAGTCGGCTTGCTATATTTATAATAATATTGTAGAATTTCACATTTTCACATTTTGACCGTCAGTTACCTATCACCATCAATATTCATTGAATGAAATATTATTTTATGATAGATTATTTATTAACAAATAACATCAATGCTATCACATCAATGCTGATAAGTAACTGAAAGTTAGTAATTTTATTTTGAATTTAATTAATTTCTATTTGCAGTGTCAACAGGCGGAACTGGAGGTTTGTTTCTCGGCGCTAGTATCCTCAGCTTTGTAGAGTTGTTTTACATCATATTGATTCGCCCATTTTGTGATGTCTATAGTAGAATTGGAGACGATCCTTGGTATTTGAAGTTCGGCACACGTCGTCTTGAAGATAATAATTTTAAGCCGAATATAGGTGGTATAAAAAAGAGTGTTAAACCAATTAGGAAACGATAAAGATTACCCCTTTAATCACGTAACATTATTACTGATTGTAGAGTTGCACAAGTTTTACTCACATATTTAATAAATTTTACGTAACTCAAATTTCATGTATTACTATAAAATAAATATACTAATTTCAACCTCTTGGTTTTATTTTATTATTGTTCTGTATATTTTATATAGCCGGTCATATACATCGAAGAACCGACAACCGATGGGGAAAAAGCTTCTCGAGTGGCAGTCTCGTACCGGTAGGCGAAGTGTAGGGCGACCCTCCACTAGAGTGATGACCTGGTAAGACATGCAGGAAGTCGATGGATGCAGGTGGCTCAGGACCGTGCTTTATGGCATTCCTTGGGAGAGGCCTATGTTCAGCAGCGGTCTTGTGAAGGGCTGTAATGAATCATCATTACAGCCCTTCACAAGATGATGATGATATTTTTGTTTGGCCTATAAACTAGACTATATATAATAGAACAGAATTAATAGAAAAAAAAAAGAGGAAAAGTTATCAGTATCAAGGTAAGATCTGTTTACGGCGTCGTTGGTAATATTCTTAATTTTTTTGTACAAGGTGATATTGACGATAATAACATTGTAGTAGGTAGGTAGGTACTTACAATAAAGCATCTTCTCCTTTATCTAATTACACGGTTGCCGGCATAAGAGTTTAACATTATGATAAGGGTGACACCCAACGAAATCTCTATAGATATTTAATAATAAAATTACCGAACTGTAAATATCAATATTAATAAAATACGTACTTACGCTTCACTTATATTTATGCTCCCCATACTAATAATATCATCATCTCACGCCATTAGAGACGAAAGTAAATGTTTTATTGAATAAATATATACAAAATACAAACGTACAACCTATTTACTTCTCTTTGTAGGGCAAAGGCGACTTCGTATTTTAGAGAATTATAGAGCAATAATACCTACGCGCTGCTCTAATGTGTGTTGGCTAATTTCACAACATGTTCTCAAAATATTTCATTTCTGACATGCCACAACCTACCTAGGTTTCTTCAGGGTGTTTTCCCTAACCGTCGCGCCGAGCGCTTGGTAACTTAAACACTTAAAATTGCAACTAACAATTTTATTGTTACCGGCAGGGATCGAACACAGGTTGGTCACGTTCTATGTAATTGACGGCGACCGCTTAGCCAGCTAATGAGCTACCATGGCTATAATATTGTAAATTTAACAGATATATAACCGTTACCGTTAGCGTTACTGGCTATCAAAAGTCCTATGCTGAACATGGTTTCCCCCATAAGATTGCCTCTTAGAGGGGAAGATTGGCCACAGTTGCCACGCTTGGCAGACGGGTTGCAAACGCAGTTCTTTATTGTTAATTATTAGGAAAAGGCTGCTGCTCATCTCCTGGATTGTTTCCCTTTGTCGCCTCTTACGACACCCACAGGGCGATATATGGTATTTATTTATCTTTTTACCGTATTATATATAATATTTAGAGACGATGGCAGGAGACCCGACGGTATGACATTGGTCCCTTGGGAGAGAGGTAAAGCCCTAGTGTGGGATGCTACTTGCGTAGACACTGGCGGCCTCTCATCTCAGGGGTACCTCGTTTAGAGCCGCGGCGACATCAGAGGCAGCTGAACTGAGTAAGTGGCGCAAATATGAGTCTCTGAGAGATGACTACATATTTGTGCTATTTGCTGTAGAAACTATCGGTTCGTGGGGTCCACGTGCGGTGTTGTTCCTAAAGGAACTCCATCCGCGGCTGCTCGTTGCTGCTGGTGATAAGAGGGCTGGTTCTTTTCTCGCCCAAAGGCTAAGTATAGCCATTCAACGGGGAAACGCAGCCAGCGTTCTTGGCACGATACCGCGGGGAGTAGGACTATATGATAATTAAGTTTCTAGTTTTAGTTTTTTTTTATTATTATAGTTTTTAATATTGTATAAAAATAAATGTAATATAAATTTTAATACACGCTAGTAATTAATTTATTTATCTAATGTTTACTATTTAATATTGATTTTGTGGCAGGTTTGTAAATGTATATACAAATATACATAGTACTATGATATACATATAATATACAATTTTTTTAATGTAGTGTATGTAAAGATATGAACAACATATGTATGATACATAGATATAATATGTACGTTACATACTACATATGATAATAAAATTGTATAATTGAAATTGCAAATAATAATTAGTATAGGATACAAAGCACGGGTTGCCTACGTACCGAACTGGATATTATTACACAGTTACTAGGCAATAAATATATAAATGATCACAGAATTAATTTTACTTCAATTCAAACAATACCTCTCTACTATTTCTTCAAAAATACATAAAACTGTACTTTTATAATCTTCGTTTTCCTCTATCATTTTATTTATAAACGCGCCTTTATCCTTAGAAAGTATTTGGTTAAATTGTTCCGTATCGCAAAAAAATTGTGTTGTCAAGGTCTCATCAAGCCAAAACTGCGGAGTTAAACAAGCGCTTACGATTAAACCCCATAATCTTTGTTCTTCTGCGGAACAAATGAAACTGTCTTTACTGAAAATATCACTAATTTTTATATCATGTTTGGATAGAATATGTTCAAGTTCTTGATAGTAATAGTTTAAAAAAAGTTGCATGTTAGTTTCTCGATAAATGGGGTCTAAATTACAGTAAAGAAGAAGCATTACGTCACCAGCGGGTTCTTGATATCTAACTGCCTGAAAATCGACTAGTAAACAGTCCACGGGCACCAATTTATTTTCTGATAGCTCTTTATAACGGAAGAGAATATTGTTGTTCCACAAATCTCGATGACAGATAACGCAACGACGCTTTGGCGAGAAGTCGCTGAGTTTTAAGCCAGAATGCCATATGTCTTTCCATTTATTTTCCACTGTGTTCATCAAACTCTTATCTTTACCATATTTAGAAAACTTTTTAACCGCCTGTAACGCCCCTGTCATACATTGGACAAACCATTGGTCAGAAATATTGTATCCTCCTTGATTTAAATAGTTTTCAAACTCTTCGTTTATACAGTACTTTTTCGACAGCTTTTTGCTTTTTCTTTCTTCATAAACAATAGAGGATGCGTGAAATCTAGCAAGAGTGCTTAAAGCTTGCAACGTGTGTGCTTCATCGAATCTATCGAATTTATTCTTCGTTTTATATTGCATTGCATTTAAATCTTCGAAAACCATGGCTTCATCAAGAGTAGTTATAAGTGTTGCACTCCAAGGTCTTAGATCTGAAATTAAAACGAAGTTTAATTAGAGCAAAAACATAATAATGTATTAAATATCTATTTTAACTGCCAACTACTGACCAAAACCAAGAAAGCAAAACCAAATGACGAACGCACTGAATATACCGAGTTTTATATTTTAAATTAGAAAATAGATATGTATATATTTTATGGGCATTGTACCTACAAGTAAAAGAGTTGGCCAAAGTAGGTCAGGCCAACATTATTACTTCCAGCGTCACTTGTTACCATGCTATCGGGTACTACCTGCATTAGCATTACTGAGTAAAAAAAGAGGTAAAAAATTGTACAACAACAACAAAAAACAACTCTCTCTACTATTTAATATATGATTATGATTATCTTCACGCACAATCCCTAACGGGATAGCCAGAGAGAACAGATCGCCAAGTGTCACGATCCTTACAAACCTCTTTCGCTTCTTTCAGATTCATTATCTTCTTCATGCATGCACGTCTAGGTATCCAAGTACTCTTGACCCTACTCTCTTCGAGCAATTTGCTCACATGGTCTTCGAAAGTTAGTCTCGGTCTACCTCGACACTTTTTAATATTAACTTTCGCGCTATATATTTTCTTCACCATTCGGTCTTCACTCATTCGCTCAACGTGCCCAAACCACCGAAGCACGCCCTTATCAATTTTTGTGATAAGGTCATCTTTCAAACCTGCCATATTGCGAATCTCTTCAATTCGCTTTCGGTCGGCCATAGTAACGCCGCACATTTTACGAAGAGATCGCATCTCCACTGCATTCAACTTACTTTTATGCTTCTTCTGGCATACCCAGGTTTCGCTGCCATATAACAAAGTCGGTACCAACACTGCGTTATGTATTGTAAGGCGTGCACTCTTCGCTACGCCTTGCCTTTTGACTAACGCAGTCAGGGCACCATTGACTTTGTTCCCGGCAGCGACACGCCTGTCCACATCTAAATCACATTTTCCATCCCGGCTAAAAGCACTCCCCAAGTATACAATTTCATTTACCTGTTCTAGACTATTTAATATAAATATTATATATTAATCTTATAATTTATATATTATGTTTTTGTAAAACATATATGGAAAGCTTACCTGGTATTCCAATTTGCCTTTTAATGACATTATAAAAATATAATTCTTTTTCAAACAGTTTCATTTCTTTTACCATTTTGGCTTTAGCTTCGTTTGAAGTTGATATTGATTTGATAAAGAAATAAAGCGATTTCCTTTCCATTTTATTCACAATCAATCGGACTTGCAGCTTCCAATAATCCGAAAGAAATCCTAACATTTTGTCACTGGCCTTATAAACAATATAACTCTCTAAAACAGTGTTTTCTTCATTTTCAAAACAATTTCTCACGATTTCTTTAACATTTTGTTCCTTCATTAAATGCATTTTATGTATAGATATTTCAAATAGGCTAGGATCAATTTTTAATTTAGAACCTATGTGTAGGTATGTATCTCACCTACTGAGATATTAAAATCGTGTATCATTTATAAACGTTTAGTCTTTCGGAGTGGAGTAAAGTCAATATTTATTTAAGTTGTAAATATAATTAAGTTTTGGTATTGTTTAGTGATATTCATAGAGCAACGCTGGCAACCGGCGCGGAGTGATATCACATAATTACATAATATTAAAAGTATTAGAACTGGGCTTAGAGTAATTAAATATATACGTAGAACTGGGTGCTCGTTTGATAAGCTATAGTGACATCGTGCAGCACAGAAGCGATAATTATGTGTGTTTTCTTACAGAAAATAAACATTACAATTGATAACACGGTAAACTCCGTTATAGTGACATTTTAGCGACTATATTTAATTTCCTAACAGGCATTTTTGAAAGAAAAAAAACTGATGGCATCGATAAACTATGACCTAAACTACAATGCATCCACGACTTTTTCTGCCACCAGGGCGACGCCACTAGAAAGTGAGGTATAATATTTGACAGATTTCATAGTGGGGAAGTTAATGTTGTTCGGAAATTTTTTTTATAGGATAAGGGTGACAAACGAGCACACAGACCACCTGATGGTAAGTGGTTGCTGTGGCCCATAGACATGTACATCTATCTTCGATTAAGATTCAAAATGCAGATGCGTTGTCACCCGTGAGGACTAAGATGGAATGCCTCGTTTCCAGTAAAAAGGGTCTCCGGTTCTCTACACTTACCATACGAAACACAGCAGCGTTAAACTGCTATTTTACGCTGGTATTCTGTGAGAGCGTGGTCCTTCCCCGGTCGAGCCAACCCATTCGTGCTACAACTATAATATAGTTGCAGCATGGCTCTACCACATATAAAAAAATGTAAAAGTTATTGTTTCTTTTTGTACTATAAGCTATGTTTTATAATAATAATATTAAAAATAAATAAATCAAACCACAGATATTCATAAAAGTAGAAAAGTTAAAAAAAGTTAAAAATATGCAAACAATTAAGGAGCAAACCACTGACGCATTGTTTTGTGTATTAATGTAATACTCTACAAACTGATAAACTTTTATTAAAAAAACAACTTCTCAATTAAATTACATTATGTAACAAAAAAATTTACATCAGTGTCAACTAGTGACATCTGGTGAGCATAAAAGTATTGGCCCTCATTGTGATGACAACCTGATATCGACTTCAGTTTATATCATATTTTCTAACAATAAGTATATAATTACATTGTGTTACTGTTATCAATTACGCAAGAAAACAATCATTATTTTTTTCCATTTGTTTAATTGATGCTTGTAGCTAAGGAAAATCGCCGTATTCGATCCCCTATCACAGCAGCACTGAAATTATTTTACAGACATATCGTCGTTGGAACCATACTCAAATGAGTAACAATCTAAAAGCAAATTTCAATCGAGATTATCTCGATTATATCCCGAACGTCAATCTGACTGAAATTAGAATAGGTCGCCGAAATCTTAAACGTCAAGATGCTAAGTGAGGATAGAATTACAACATAGTTTCTGAAAGTGGTAAACAGTACCTAAAATCCTTTATGAGCTATTTAATTTCTCCCTTTCGCTTAGCACTATGCCACAAAGTACATGCCCCAAAGCTTTGTATAGAAGCAAAAGATATTATTTATTAAGAAAGACGATATTGCCTTCTTAAAAAATTCAGAATTGGTGCTTAACCCTGAAATTATGAAACCTTTACCATAAGCACCACCAAGATTGCAGATGTCTCCATAACGACGTATAAGAAAGACGGCAATTTTAACTGACACGCCAGATAATAAACGTTGCCTGAAGAACAGGCAAAGAAGAAAAAAGGGAAAGCGACTATAACAGTATAGAAGTTATTACAAGAGAGCAAGAGTGACAGCGATAACAATTCGGAATGGTACTGCATAATTTGCTATGATTCATATTTAAATTGTTGTCCAAGAAAACAGTGGATAGAATGGACAATGTGCAAAAATTGTGCTCTCGTCAAACATTTAGATAAAGGTGATAAAGACGCTTCTGTATCCCAACTGTGAGTCAGATGAAGAAATAAGTGATGAATAAGATTGCTGATTAATAAGATTATTTATTTTATTTATTTATTTACACTTTATTGAACACCTTAATAAGAAGTATTACAAAGGACGGACCTAATTGATTAATGCCTAAGGTTATCTACTACTGATCGATAAGAATGGAGATTCCCCAAAGTTAATTACGGCTGATAAAGTAAGACTGATGACTAATGTTAATTATAATTTAACTAAATGAAAGTTTATCTGGAGGTTACCAGACATGTTTTGATGTTTTTTAAATTTTTAATAGATCTCAATTATAATTTAACTAATAGTTTATCTTGAGGTTACCATTTATGTTTTGTTGTTTTTTTTAATAGATCTCAATTATAAGTTAACTAAGTAAATAACCATTGATCTGGAGCGCGCCAGAGTTATGTTTTGTTGATTTTTAAAGTTAATTTATGCATCTTCTGATAAGATTTATAAGTCAAGAGATTGATGATTTAACAAAATAAAAAAGTTTTTTAGTTGTGGACAGAATAAACATTACATAAGTACATGTATAGAAATGGTTGTTTTATTTAAGAAAACCTATGTTATTCTGGTTGTATATTGTCATAATCTAAGCGGAACAATCTGTCTCAAAGGTGACACAACTCGCGCGGGGCTGACTGTTTCGCTCCGAAATTTGACAAATTTGCTTTTGTAAAAAAAATTGAGATAATAGAAATGAATACAATATTACAGAAAACCATAAACATCCGTTCAATATTTTACATGTTAACAATGAAAAGCTTCATTTTTATAATAAAACTTCATGTTATTTGAGAATCAGAACTTCCCGCCTCGCTTCCCCTATGTATCAGATCTATTTATAAAATCTTTCGATAATTTCATCAAAAAGTTCAATGACTCGATTGCGATAATTGTTATCATCCTTTGCCAAATTTATGAACTCCTCACTTCTGGATACAACATTCACTTTCGCACAATTATCCGGATCTTCAAAAATCAAGATCCTCATATCGTCATTCATTGCTATAGTAGGAACTATTAAAGCGGCTTGTGTGATGCCGAATACAATACTTTGTTGGTATGATTTCATTATCGTCTTTTTATCTATGATATTTATCACATCAATTCCTTCTGAGTTTAATTCTTCGGTTAGAAAAGAATAATATAAATTTATAATTTTATCGGTATTTGCTTCTCTAAAATTTCTAGACGTGTTGAAATAAATTAATGAACACAAATCGTGCATAGGGGGGCAGTATAATACTGTCTGGAAATCGACGATTAAAGAATGATACTGGCCATCACCAAGTTGTTTAAGGAATATATTATTCGTCCAAAGATCGCGATGTATGACAACATTGCGGAATTCAGAACTTGGTTTCATTAAATTAAGCGCACAGGAGAATAAACTTAGAATAAAATCTTCAACATGTTTCACAAAATCAATCTCAGTTTTATATTTAGAATAAACTCTAAGAAAGTCGATCACAGCTCTTTTTCCAGTGTCTCGCCACGCCTGTCCTTTTTCTGGTTCTGTAAGATATTCGCTATATTCGTCCCAAATTCTATATGTTCTATTCAGTTCTTTAGATTTTTTTTCTTCATATATAATTGATTGAGCGTGAAATTTTGCCAATGTGTTTACAACAACGGATAGCTCATCATACGACATAGTGCAAAGGTGGTCCGGCATTTTATAACCGATCTTTGTGACATCCTCAAAAACAAACAAATCTTCTCTAATATACAACAATTTGGGTCGCCATTTATTCAGTCCTATAATAATGAAAAAAAAAATTAGGATAAATATTCTTTGAATAAAAGCAAATAATAATAATTTAAAATTAAAAATTTTGTACAGCCGACTTCAATATAAGTTATTTAAGAATAACTTAAAAACTATTGGTCTGACCTTGATCAAATTCATATGGGACCACACGAGAAGTACCAGCTTTCAAATAAAAAAAGAATCATCGAAATCGGTTCACCCAGAAAAAAGTTCTGAGGTAACACACATAAAAAAAAAAAAAAAAAAAAAAACGAAAAAAAAAAAAAAAAACATACAGTCGAATTGAGTACCGGCTCCTTTTTGGAAGTCGGCAGAAAACAAACATTAGAAATAATAATCCTACCTTCACCATCTTGAAAGTGTTTAAACAACTGGCTCAACATAACATATTCTTTTCGAAAAAAGGTTGACTCTTTAAGATATTCTGCTTTCCATTGATTATTTCTCGGCATACATTTTACAAATAGTTTTAATTCTGTCTCGACTCCTTCTACGTACAACGTAATAATAAGTCGAAGATGTTCACCGAGATAGCCCATCAATTTATCTGAAATATCTTCGAGCTTCCATTTAACGACAATCGAAGAACCATAATGCCTTGATATACACCGTATTTCATTTTCATTTAAAAGATCCATGTTATATGAACGTTCTTCATTGACGTATTCTATTAAGTGAACGTACCATTGTAAATTGAGATTACGATAGTAATGTATAATGAACAGATAAAGAGAGATAAGAGTTGTGTTTGCATTTATTTATAGCAAGTTTATAATATAAGTTTGTTGACGCCGTCTTCATCTCGATCTCGCCCTGTACGTACGTTCTAACCAGTACTTACGGAAGAATTGTGGTCAACGCCATAAATATCTTATAGCCTCCGTTTGGTGATATCCATATCTTATTCCTCAAAGTTACATCAAGATTTAGCAAGGGTGTAATCGACAAGCTTTTATAATATACCTATTAATTCCGGCATCTATTTTGAGCTGAAAACAATCAGGACAGGAGTTATCGTCGATAATAGGGTGGGTGTCGTAAGAGGTGACACCTACTGGGACAGAGGGAAACTGAAACAGAAGATGGGCAGCAGCATCTTCCTGATATCAACTCAAAATAATATAACTGCGGTTAGCAACCCGCCTACCAAGCGTGGCAACTGGCAACTTGACAAATATCCCCCTATGATGCAATCAGGGGCGGAGGCAGAGTCATTGCCTTATATATTTTGATAGACTCTAATAGATAGATAGATACATTGATGTAATTTAGCGACTGGAATAAATCCGAACAATTCCCATAGTATATGCGATAGAAAATGCAATGAGCGAAAATGAAAATAGGTCTCTTCGTAAGACCAGTGGATCCGGCTGATTGGTAAAACTTAGTAACAAATTTTATTAGTTTGCAACATATCATTGATACACAGAAGGCGTAACATACAACCTTGTGGAACTCCAGCATTTTAGTCTTAGAAGTTATGAGTCTTGATTTATGGTCGGAATAGCATTTAAAAAAATTAAGAATAAAAAAGAGCAATATTGATAACTGACAAATGCTATATTATTACATAGGGCAAACACTGAAAGTTCTGCGCCTGGCTGCTCATAAATGTTTGGATTTCGAATTTTATATTTCTTTAAACATTAAAAAGTCATATTAATAGGTCTTTATGAAATTGCCGTTCTGCAGCACTGACCATATCAAATAAAAATAATGTTTGTTTGGCTAAAAATTCTAATTTCAAATTATTTTTATTTTAAAGACATGGAATTCATTTTTCAAAAGTAGTCATTTGTTTATTGTTATGTTTTCATCGCATTTGAATTGTTTTCGTCATCATGAATTCGTTAAAACTTAAAACTTCGAGTACTTAATTATGGAATAAAAAAGTCCATTTGCGTCAAATTGGCATGATAAAAAATCTTGACAAATTGGTGCCCTTAACACTTAATGATCTGAGTGATCACAAAAAAACTTAACGATCGCCGTCGCGAAGTACGCGTCGAGACGTGCCTTGGACTGCTAGAGGCACACAAACGAAGGAATTATGAACCGCAATTGTTATCTGCGATAAAAAATGAATTATGTTTGACAATTTCAAGCGCTCGGCAAGTTGGTTGGATCGTTTTTCAGGACCTAAACAATTCTCTAAACGAAATCTTACACCTATAAAAGTGATGGTCACTGTTTTATTGGTCTAGCGCCGCACTGGTGTGATTCATCACAGCTTTTTACCAAATGGGATGAGCATTACTGCAGATGTGTACTTTGAAGAACTGAACACAATGATGGAGAAGCTCGCACATCTCTAACCAGCTTTGGTCAGTCGCTCGTCACCGCTGCTCCTGCACGACAACGCGCGACCTCATACTGCACAACAGACGATCTCCAAGTTACAAGAGCTGGGGTTGGAAGCTCTCCGACATCCACCGTACTTACCAGACCTTGCACCTACAGACTTCTACTTTTCCAGAATTTTGATAACTGTTTGGCGGAAAAAAAATTCTATACCCGAGAGGCAGTACAAAATGCCTTTGAAGAATTTCTTGCCTCAATAAACATCAATAAACTGCCACTGCGTTGACAAAGATGCATCGATTTCATGGGTGATTACTTTGACTTTCACATTCACTGTCCGAAAAGAGACACAATAATAACACAATAGCAATGTACCATATGTGGCTCATAGGACAGGGAATGGGTTAATAAAAGTTAATTAGAAATAAATTACGTTAACTTATTTCATAAAAAACGGCAATTTCATAGGTAAAGATCTAATATATTTGCAAGTCGCGTGTCATATCGTTTGAGCATCGTAAGGCGTTGATACGCAGAATTTGATCGCGGCCGTGTTTCTCTCCATAGTGAAATTCGTAAAGTTCGACCCTCAAATGCGATCACTGAGGAAAATACTACTACTGCTACTGTCGGGCGACTAAATGAAGAAAAACGGCGCATCGCCTATGAAGAGATTCGAGGATATTTGGGTATTGGTTATATGTAAATGTTATAAGATTCCTCCTGAACTCAACCTAGAACAAAAAAGGGCTCAGGTTGATTGGTGTAAAACAATGTTGTTAAATTATAATCACTATCAAACGCTGTATATGACATTGCAAAGAATAAATAATATATGGAGAAATATATAACAATATGTGACCATCGTCATACATTACATCCCGGAAAGAAAGCAACAGTCTTTTCTATGAGTGTTCGAAGGCGCTAGCAAACCAACAAAATTAAGGTAGGCAAGTAGTGGGAAAATAAACCGAATGCTTTTTTTTCTCTCCCAGACGGGACCAGTCAACACGATATCCCACTTGAGCAGCAAACGACAGATAATGCTGAGTGGTACACCACAATTTGTTTGCCCAGTGTCCTTATCATATTGGACCATGACAGTGCTTCGGCGCACACGGCCAAAATGACAAAGTCATTTTTGACTTCTGAAAAGGTTGAGCTCGTTACCCATTCCGCACACAGCCCAGACTTCGCATCATACGTTTCTTTATTTTCCACGAAAATCAAAGATTTGATGAGATGATGGACATTTACGAAGCCAAAAGAGACCGTGATAGCTTTCAACCAGACCGTGATAGCTTTCAACCAGCACGTGAACATATCCACACAGACTAATTCCTTGTGTTTTCAAAAATGGTTTGAAAAAATTATAGTGTTTAAAATGTAATGGAGAACACTATAAAAAGCAGTAAATATGTGTTTACATATAAATTGTTTTATTTATGAGTTACAACAAACAAAGATGAATAAATCTAATGGAGAGCCTCCCCCAAGGAGTGCCACAAAGCACGGTCCTGAGCCACCTGCATCCATCGTCTTCCTGCATGACTCCAGGTCATCACTCCATCTAGTGGGGGGACGCCTTACTCTTGGTCCGCTGGTACGCGGCCGCCACTCGAAAACCTTTTTTCCCCATCGATTGTCGGTTCTTCGAGCTATATGCCACTTCAGCTTACTAATCCTTTGGGCTATATCGGTCACTCTGGTTCTACTGCGGATATCCTCATTTCTAAGTTTATCACGCAGAGAACTCCGAGCATAGCCCTCTCCATAGCTCGCTGAGCGACCTTAAGCTTCCTCATACGGCCAGCAGTGAAGGAGCACGTCTCAGTTTCATAAGTCGCCACTGGCAACACGCACTGGTTGTACGGTCTCGTTTTCAAGTTTTGAGGTATACCTGACGAAAAGATGTGCCGTAATTTCCCGAACGCTGCCCAGCCGAATGAATCCATCGATTGACCCCTCGGTCGAAGTTGGACTTACCTAGTCGGAATATTTATCCCAGGAAAACATACTCGTCAACAACTTTAAGCTTAGTGCTCCCAACAAATTACCGGCATAGGTGTGACATGGAAGTTAAGTATGATTTTTGTTTTGTCCATGTTCATCTTAAGACATATCCGTTGGGAGACACTATTGAGGTCATTGAGCATAGTGCTTAGGTCCTCCAGCGATTCTGCCATAAGGATTATATCGTCGGCAAATCAAAGGTGAGTGAAGTACTCGCCATTGATGTTAATACCGTCTCCTTTCCAGTCCAGTAGCTTGAAAACGTTTTCCAATGCAGCGGTGAAGAGTTTCGGGGATATAACATCACACTGTCTTACACCTCTCTGCAATTGGATAGGTTTCGTACTCTGATTCTGTACTCAGATAGCCATCGTAGCCCTACTGTACAAACACTTCAGCACTTCGATATACCGACAGTTAACTTGGCACCACTGAAATTTCGACGGAATCAAAGGCTTTCTTATAGTCCACATACACAAAGCAAAGTGGCATATTGTACTCTTCTGTCTTCTGTTCAATTTGCCGAAGGGTGTGTATGTGGTCTATGGTACTAAAACCTTTTTGGAAACCGGCTTGTTCGGGAGGCTGGTAGCCGTCAGTCTGCATTATGATTCGTAATAACTCTCGAAAACAGCACGTAGACGCGGCTCAGAAGGGAAATCGGTATGTAGTTCTTCAAGAGAGCGTTGTCGCCTTTCTTGAAGATCAAGACCACCGCACTTCTGCTCCACGCCTCCGGTGTAATGCCACCATGGAAGACTAAATTAAAGAGCTTCTGAAGGACTTCAGGTACCGATTTTCCACCCGCTTTCAGAAGATTTTACTTTAATTCCATCCTCACCTGGGCCCTTGCCGTTTTTAAAGTGCTGAACAGCCATTCTAATCTCGCTCAGACTGACGTCCAGGATATCTTCGGAATAGTGTCGGATAAGACTCGCTTTTGGATCGTTACTCACACTTGCGTGTGGCTCCAATGATGACATGTACAGCTGCCCATAGAACCTCTCAATCTCACTCAAAATCTCAGGTGTCCCGGAAACGATGCTGCCAAACTCGTTCTTCAGTTTTGACAGTTGGCTCTTTCTGGCATACAGATCTCAGGCAAAGATTTTGGAGCCTTGGTTCCATGAGATTAAGAGTGATCGGAGTTTTTGTGTTCTTGTGCGGTGGGTCTTGCAAAACTTAGCTCCGACCGCATGGACAGTTTCCACTAGCTTGTCATTCATATCGTCTACTGCATTGCAATATTCTAGGAACTGAAAACGATTTTTTAGCTGGAGCTGAAAGGTCTCTGGATTAGAGCACGAGGGGGACGGTGCGTTGA